TTTTTTGCTTAGAGATAACATTAATTTATAGTTCTTATCCTAATGTAAACAATACTGCCTCAATGTGCATTGTATATGAACCTTCTTCTAAATTTTGTTATACAAAAGTATTTAAATTTTAACTTAAGGAGTCTTTATGAAAGGTATATACTAAGAAGAAGTTTAGTTTTATTGTAGTTTGCAGTATAATAAAGAAGATGAAAAAGACTATTTGATATTTACATAAACAATTCTAAGATGATCTTCTCATATAATCACTTAAAAACAGAATCGATTATTACTTGCTAATTACAATTTGTTTTTGTTGGATCCAATAAATGTATATTATGATATAATATTTAATATCAGTGATGTGTTTATCTGTAATGGGTTTGCTACTAATATCACATTTTGGATATAGCTATGTAAATATGTCTTACCTTTTAGTTGGTGAGACTGTTAATGGATCAAATCACTCATCCCCGATTTAGCGGTCTGGACGACAAGAAAGTTCGGCGAGGTCAGCTATTACTTGACGCAACTCCTCTCTGGGCACGGACACTTCGGCAAGTATCTGTACCGTATGAACATTCGAGAACAACAGAGTTGCAGAATCGATGATGCAGAACATACATTCTTCGAGTGCAATAAATGGTCAACTGAAAGAGCCAGTCTAGAAGAACAGATTGGTGGCATGTGAACCCCGGAAAACGTAGTACCCTTACTACTGGCAAGTGAGAGTAACTAGTCAATGGTGGCGAGACACGTGGAGCCAGTACTTCGTGTAAAAAAGAAGCGCCTGGACGCAGGTACCACAGCACCGTCATAAGACTAAATCTAACAATCAGGATGTTTCCCTGCGGAGAGGGGAAAAGAATACTCCCGCGGTTAGGATGGCCTGTCGTAAGAGTCGACTAATATCCCCCAGTGCCAGTCTGACACTAATGCAAGAAGTGTAAATGGTAGTGAGTTGTGGGCGGCAACTTGCGACATTTGACTAGAGATGATACTATCTGGTACTTCGGGGGTCAGTGGCCCGACAGCTTCGGCTGTGCTGACCATTGGCGTTGAACTCGAAGTGGTTGTGGTTAATACCCAAAGTCAAGCGAGAAGAATGTTTTGCTTGTCATTCATTCGCAGTGGTGAGTGTTTCAATCCGGGTGCTTTGACCCAAAGATCAGCAGAGGTAGTTGAATTTCTTCATTGGCACCGGCGGAATAAGGAAGGCTATTCCAATGGGGCGTTGATTGACGCTTAAATTAATACGTGTGATAAGAGCACCGTGGTATTAAGCCATCAAGGCAGGAAATCACGAAAAAAACACAGGTAATCAGGTATGTAATCAGGATGTGCATGACCTGAAGCAATAACTAGTGGTGGTTCCGGATCATGTACTTCATCGTGGAAAGGGGAGTTTTTTAGCATGTCAGCGATTAGCGCGAACCGTGCACTACCCTCAGAAAGACGTTTCTGCGGGTGTGTATAGACATTTTTTGTTCCCCAGCTCTAAAAAACAAAAAAATTGATGAAATCACAAAATATGATGAATATTTATAAAACATAACATAAAAAAATGGTAATAACAAAAGATCAAAAGTTGAGAGGTCAACCAAAATCAAGGGATTAGGTCAACACCGCTGGGTACAACCAAACAGATATTGATGCTATAAAAATATTAATACGATTTTTTTTCAATTTCTTCCAGGGAATCTGCATTTAAAGATTTGTCTACAATTTTTAAACTTTATTTTGCAAGCTTTATATTTCAGTCGAGTTCTACTATATGTCATATACTATTAAACAGATATTTCAATGTGTTTTTGTTATTTAATTTAAGTGCAAGAGAAAAATTTGGACAAAATACTCTAAACAATCACACAAAACTAATTAAGCAAATTCACTGATCACTGATGATGGGTACTTGGGAATACTCAAAGCAGATGAATGGTTACCTAAACAATTGATTAATTATATGTAATATATGTTCTTGTCTTAATTTTGATTAAAAAAATTAATAACAATTTTGCACATTCATTTACTCTATTTAATTGAATTATATCCATAACACACAAAAGTTTTTAACTACCGTTCCGAAGTAATTACGTATTAATTCCGAACAACATTTTGCCCCGTACTAGATATAGGTAAAAGTCTGAATTTAATGAGAGCCAACAAACTAGTACATAAAATATATACTAACTTAGTTATTTATCGACACTTTTCAACGTTGAAAATGAAATACAATATCTTTATTTCACTTAATCTCATTGGTAACAGAAATCAATTATTATGTAAATTGTCAGTTGATTAAAAAAATATATATTTTTATTAACTTAAACTTTAAATGTAATTTGTAAAATTGCGCTACACCAATTTTGCTAGCTATACTTAGTTTATGACAAACTTAAGTTGTTTCACAACAATAGTTTCAGAAAATAAAGTGCTTAGGATGAAAATGTAATATTCAATATCATTTTTATAATACAGTGATCCTAAATCTAATTCCTCACATAGTTATCATATATTTCGTCTATGTAAAACAATATTAGGGTTTGGATCCTAAATATGTACGATTATTATTCTATAATAGAGTCTTCCAGAGAAAATATCTTATGCTTTTTCAAGTTCCGAAATATGAAGAAATATTTTTTAAAATAATTTATTTCGATGCACTATACTCTCAAGATTCATTAACTCTAACTATCGGTAGAGTGACGAAGGCGAACGTTGCTTTATACACTTGCAAAAAAAACTTGTAAGATAGAGACTAAATTCAAAAATATATTGACTTTTACCTTCTATATTTATTTTGTTGTTCGGTATAATAGTAGTCATTCATATTGAAACTCACATATTTGAGGCTTCTAAAAAAGATCCAAAAAACAGTCGTATTTTACAACGCCAGTGCCTTAAGAACTAGCCTAAGTAAATCGCTTAAATGTTTCTCTAAGTCTTTAAGAAGTAAAGCATAGTTGAAATGCTGCATTAGTTGCATTAGATCAGGAATGAAAGTAAGTGGCTGCGGGATTCGCGCTAAGACTAAAAAGTATGGCACTGTAGAATTACCGACAATCGTAATCATATATAAGATATTGACCACTCCATTAGACACTTCTAGACTAAAATAGTAAAATTGAACTTCTGTAGAAAAGATTTCAGACTATTCAGAAGAAAAAGAGTTAAAAGAGAAGAATATTGGAACTGCTAGTCCGCCAATCAGACTACTGTTGTGTTTAGCAAGCAGATACCTAGTAATTAAAGAAGTAACTGTTTTATGTTTACATAAGTAAACATATCTTAAACTACAAGAATTATATTCCTATGCAATCAGATAGTCATCAAATTACTTAACACTAAGATCAAAGGTTACTTAGGATGGACTGGCGGTTTAAAATGAAATCTGCACCATTTTTAAACTGCGCTTTCTAAGGACTCCAGACAACAAAGACATTGAAGGAAACTATAAAGCTGATGAATTGGACAGATACGGTACTTTTCTTCCTCTAAATGTAAAGGGAAGCTATATTAGAATACCTGTAAACTAATACTGAAGCATTATGTTTATAGTAAGAAACGAAAGTTCTTGGACATATGAAGACATATGTTTAATATGGCCGATACCAAAGACTAGATACTATTTAGAAAAAAGTCTAGGCACTTACTCATCCTAACAAGAGCAGAAATACTTAAATCCAGTAATTGGGCACATGCTCTTACACAATTTATAGGAATGTAATAAAAAATAGCAGGGTAAATCACATATTATTTATAGAATTTATATTTATCTGTTCGCTAAAAGTAGTGGATTGTGTAGTTACATTAGCGTAATAAAATTTTTTCTTTTTTTTTTATTAAGTTTGCATTGAATTTAAAAAATGCTACTAACCGACAACGAAATGGAAATGTCAAATGCACATGACGGCAGATAATTAACATAAAATTAATTTCGCATAAAAATTTAATAAACACTTAAAAACAAAATTTGCATACAATGAATACGAATAAATTGCTAATAAAAAAATAGATAAAATAATTAATCATGAAAAATTTGTTACGCGTTTGTGCTGCTGTTGTTGTTGTGCTGCTGCCGCTGTCAGTGATTGACCTGAGCATAATTAATGCGACTTTAATTGTTGAATGGAATTGCTGTATCTGAACGCAAACCTAGGTCAGTTGTGCACGAAACCAACAAGATGAAGACATGCGTGATTTGGTACAAACTCATTTGTCAAAATACGAAACAACCGCTTAAGGCCTCATTGGACCTTTGGAGTATCCAAAAACAAAAGACCTAAGTAACCGGCTGGATTGTTGGTTTGTTAAAGCGATACAGAAGTGCACTGCCTGCAATATCGCTGAGTGAAGAGGTGTGTAGACTAGGCCAGTCAACAATTATCACAAAAAAATCCATTTGTATGCTCCTCTTTTCTGCCCCTTGAGGCGATTTGTGCGAGAACTAATTTTGAAAGCAACTGAGAAGGAAGACAACCCAAATTGGGTGTTGAAGTTAAAGGTGATGACGACTTAGATGGTGATGATTGTGACGACGATGATGATGATGATGTTGACGATTCTGCTGCCATTCGTAGTTCATATGAATAATGACCGTGTATAGATTAAAATGAAAAAACCAACCGAAAAGAAAAATTATCATCTATTTTTCTTTTGGTTGTTGATTAATGGATTTTTGAAACAAAATAGAAAAAAGTTATTATATTTTAATATGACAACACAAGAGTCTTGTTTTGGAAACAATTAGTCTGCTATTATATCTATTATTGGTTTGCTATGAACGGAGGTCAAAGGTGCTTATTTTTAGACTTAAATTATATATTTAATTTTTTCTTCAATGTTGTTAAATTTATCTTTGAAATGAAGTTAAAAATGATATAAAAGTGGTTTACGTTTTTGGAAGCACAACATACACAAAACTGCTTTCGAACTATTTGTATTTTAATATAAACAAATCAACATGGTAGGCATTCAACTAAGTTTTTTTTTTGTTATTTGTGTATTATACAATGTCCACAAATTTTGAAAATGATTTCTACTTTAATTTCCAGAAATACACACTAGTACTTTTAGCATTTATTGGTTTCGTTGCCGCAGATGTTTCACATCTTTCAAGCTCATACCTACCACCAGCAGCACCACAACCACAATATTTACCACCTCCTCAGCCACAAAAGCAATATATTCCTCCTTCACCACCGAAGCAACAATATTTACCACCTGCACCTCCTCAGCAACAATATTTACCTCCATCACCTCCACAAGAACAATATCTACCACCAGCTCCAGCACCGATTGCACCTCAACAAACATATTTGCCACCAGAACAGCATTATGAAGCTCCAGCTCCAGCACCAGCACCAGAATATCTACCACCAGCACCACACGCTGCACCTGCTCAACCGGCTCCTGAATATCTGCCACCAGCTCCAGCTCATGAGGTCACCAACGATGGTTATCATTACAGGACCATACGCAAGTATCGTTTCAGAAGTCATTAAGTACAAAAACTTCATATCCAGGCGGCACTAATATGAATATGTAAAACTCGATGGTTTTCTATAGATTTGATTGTTTATTTTATTGTTTGTTCGAATTTTTTTCGTTAATTTATGTTATAAGAATATAAACTGTTATTGCAAATTCAAAACGCATGTATTTTCAATTCACAGATCAATTATCAGAATGCAAATATTATTCATAATTAGGAGTTCTACACAATATAAAGATTCAGGTTTTTGAATATTTAATCTGAAACGATCTGTTTGTCTTCGAATTTTTAGTCAGTCAATTCTAATCTCAAGTATATTACTCATATACTTCATGTATGTATCTATATAAATATGGCATAGTAGGTATACTAAAAGTTTTAATTAACAAATATAAAATTCGAGCAGCGGATGTGACCTCCTGGCTTTAGACTAGTTATCTGAACAAGGCATAACAAAATACTTTAAAGGATATATCACAAATAAATATTGCAAAATGTAGGTCCACAATAGAGAATACTTTTATAACCTCTATAAAGCGCGGTGCAGACTATCATACTGGTGTGTCATACGAGTTGCGCTCTCTCTTGCTCAAATTTCTTCTAGCGACCGAATTTGAACAGGTATGACACACAAGAGTAGGCAAAATTTTTGAAGAGTGCTTTTGCGGGTAATGCTGTGAAAATTTGTGTTTAAAATAAAATTTTAAAATTGAAAAAATTGATAGTTAACGTATAGGTTGTGCTTTGCTTATAATTGATTATAATTTTGTATATTTTATATATGCCGCGTTTTTTTTTTTTGCGATCTTTATATTCACAGCTTTGTACATCCCACAAACAGCGATTACTTTTGTTAACATTCGATGAAAGCATCTAATGCTTTATGCTTTTATCTTAATGCTTTATCTGCATCCATATTCATATTTTTTTTAGGTTTATTTACTGAAAAGATCAGTAAAGGACTGTAGTTAATTTCATTCACTACCTGTAAAGTTTCTTAAGAAATTTTTCATAAATAGATCATACAAATAATGTATATATATATATATATACATAAGAATGTATATATCTTCATTGTTTTTCAAGAAATTTGATCATTTCCATATTTTTGTTAGTTAAAGGTTATTAACATTTAAAATTCTTTTATTTTAATAACAAGTTTTAACAAAGAAAAGCATATTTAGAATACAAAGTATTATATCTTAAATTTGGGTTATTAATTAATTGTTATTACGACCAATTTTCAATATGTTTTTTTATTACTGGGCTTAGATCATAAATTTAACGATGTTTATATTTAGATGTTTTTTTAAAAAAAATTTTACTTATAATCATCGTTTATAAATTAAAATAAAATAAAATAAAATATTTAATAAATTAAACAAAATATTTAATATATTACATAAAATATTTAATTGTATTTTAATTTTTTATAAGAATTTTATGTAAAAATTTATATTTTTTTTAACTAAGATACAATTAAATATTTAACACAAATTTATAAGTGTAATTTTAATAATAATAAATATAATAATAATAAATACATTAATAATAAAATAATAAAAAACATATTAAATTTATATTATAATTCTACATATTCCACCTGCTTACAATAAATTTGCAAGGCAAAAATGCTCTTGTATGACGTATGAATCGTTAGGGGTGACAGACTATCATACACAACGCGTATGCATTAATGTCATTAAAAAGTCATTAAAATAAAAGAATTTTAAATGTTAATAACCTTTAACTAACAAAAATATGGAAATGATCAAATTTCTTGAAAAACAATGAAGATATATACATTCTTATGTATATATATATATACATTATTTGTATGATCTATTTATGAAAAATTAATACCTAAAAAAAAATAAACCTAAAAAAAAATATGAATATGGATGCAGATAAAGCATTTTTAGATGCTTTCATCGAATGTTAATAAAAGTAATCGCTGTTTGTGGGATGTCCAAAGCTGTGAATATAAAGATCGCAAAAAAAAACGCGGCATATATAAAATATACAAAATTATAATCAATTATAAGCAAAGCACAACCTATACGTTAACTATCAATTTTTTCAATTTTAAAATTTTATTTTAAACACACAAATTTTCACAACATTACCCGCAAAAGCACTCTTCAAAAATTTTGCCTACTCTTGTGTGTCATACCTGTTCAAATTCGGTCGCTAGAAGAAATTTGAGCAAGAGAGAGCGCAACTCGTATGACACACCAGTATGATAGTCTGCACCGCGCTTAATACTCGTCTCAACACATACACAATTTGGACTAAAGTTCAATCTGATAATCTAGTTCTTATATTATATCATAAACATGAAATCAAAAATTACTTCAAGATGGAATTTGTCCCAATTTGGTATATCTATTTCTTTTAACGTAAATCTCAATACCGACCTGTCTTTATTTCAAATGTAAGCAGTAACTTTGTATAATATAGTTAATAATAAATATAGAAAGTATCCGCATATTTTTGTGAATAAATACCGATAAGACCGATTCGCAAGCTATCGAAAGATAGTGAATAGATTTAAAAATAGCATTCGACATTTGGATATTATATAAATTACCGCAAGAAATTTGATTGATCGAATAAAATACTGATGAAATGCGGATTAAAATTGGATTGAATACGATAATATCCCATGCAAGCGATAATGGTTAAAAGCCGATGATTCTTTCCCTACTTTAAAGCTTGAATCGATAATAAATAAGATTATGTTTAGTATATGGTGGAATTGGAAGAGAACTGTCTGTTATGAACTGTTCTAACTGGTTCCAATGGTTATTTAGGTCAACTAATGCTTACACCTCGACATCTTAAATAAAAAACTTAAGGCAAAATGACCAGAATTGGATAATAGAATGTCACCACAAGGTCACATAATCCTTTAATGTATCGTAATCAATCGAAATGACCGAATTTTGAAGTCCGATCGGATCCTATAGCATCTGACTACCATTTATTTGGATCTCCACAATGTTAAATGTTAAGAAGTTGGACGACAGCAAAGCTGCTGAAAATCATTTAGTCAATTTAGTCGCCGATAGATTACAGAAGTGAGTGAGATACAGTAAAGAGTTTGTATGGATGAAACCATACATTAGAAGAATGGGTCGCAGCTGGTATAACCTGAAATGTGATGATATATAGTAAATTAACGCAATATTGACAGTTTTAGTAATTTATCATAATATTATACATATACATACATATATATAGTTGAATTCTTTTATATATTTGAAAAGCGTATATAGTAATTACTGAAGCCAAAGTCCTCATACTGCCTGCCAAATACCATTTGCGCATTCATTTTTTTTTAACCAAAAATAATTAATTATAATTTTGAATATAAACCTTAACGCTTCGCGTTTCTTAAGTGAAAGTGAGTTTTTCCTTTCAAGTGGCGCAGAAATTCTTAGCAGCGGCTCAGAATAACAAAAGACAGAGTAAATAATTGTACATCCATTGCCTGACAATGATGAATAATGAAAATATTATTGTTTTTAAAAGAAATTCCAAATTTTAACATAAGAATTCATAAATACAATTGGCATTGGAATAGCAAGACAAATGACAAAATAAGTGGCCGATATAATAAGAAATGGGACCCGCTCCAGGTTGGATGACAGCTGTTGTAGTGGTACTCGTGCAAAGACCATGCCACTTAAATAAAAATTAAGCGCAGCTTCACTCAAAGTTTACACTAATTAAGCAAAAAGCAGTGTTAGGATGCAAAAGGAACATTTTCAATTCCGTTTCCTGATAACTAACATGACTTTGTCTTCATCTGTGCTGAAGAGGGCCTTCACTTATTTTTTTAGTATTGACAAAAGTTTTGCAAGCACTCAGCATTAATAATTATTATAATTTTATTACCAATATTAAGTCATAAAATATTTAATATGCAAACACTTCCACATACACATACAAACGCAAACAGAGCAGCATAAATCAGCATTGATGCCAAAATAATTTACGCCTAATAAACGCGTCGCCCAACTTTATTCCTCAAAAAGTGATGGTAATTTTAATAACCAGAGTTGCATTTACTTTGCCAGCTACTGCTGCAGTTGACTTCGCTGTTAACTTCGTTGTTGTCTGCGCTTCTTCGCTGTTAGCGCACTTTTGTACATTACAAGAAGGTTTACGGGTACTTTTCTGTTGCTAATATCGTATAATGTGGCTGTATGGTGATTGTGCGCCGACGTCGCCGCTGGCTTCTTATTTTGACTAAAAATTGTTGGTGTGAAAATTTTGTTATGCCAATTTTTGACTTTCCAGTTAATTATTCGATTTAATATTGTGTGTTTATGTGTGACTTAGTGTGTGTGGCTTGTTTTTGCTCCTTTGCCAATTACTGTTGTTGTTGCAGTTGTTTTTGTTGTTGTGCTGTAATAATAAATATTTTAAAAGTTTTCTTTGCTCTTATTTTTGAGCAATTGAAAGTAATTTGCTTTTAAGCAGTGATACTTCCATTTCCGGTGCTACATTTAAACTTTTTCTGTTCGTCGTATTCTTCTTACTATTGCTGTTGTTGTTGTTGTTGTTGTTGTTGTTCTGTGTTGTTGTTGTTGTTTTGCTGTGTATTACTTCAAATGTTGACTTTAAGTTTAATTTGTGTGTGGAGTGAGGTAAAAGCGATTAAAGAGTTTTCCAAATTTAATAATTAAATTTCATTTCGCATCATTAAGCCGACAATAAGTAAACTGATTTTCACCATAAAATCGAATTATCTGGTGAGGTAATAACTGTGAATTTTATAATAAAATTAACATTAAATCGGCGATGATGTGAAAATGAATCGCTGTGGAATATTTATGTAATCTTTAAAGGTAATTGTGGAATTATTGTCTTGGTAGACTTTACTTGATAATGGATTGATATATTAATGTTTGTACAAAATATACAATTATTGCTAAAAGACATTCATTCATATTAAGTTAGGAAACCTTGGAAAAATCTAGACACTAATGTAGTATCATTCCT